TCTTAAGGAAGAAAAGGAAGAGACGAAAACTCTCAAAAAAGAGAAGAAAGAGGACAAACCTCTCAAAGAGGAGGAGAAACCTCTCAAAAAGGAGGATAAACCTCTCAAAGAAGAAAAGGAAGAGAAGAAACCTCTCAAAAAAGAGAAGAAAGAGGAGAAACCTCTTAAGGAAGAAAAGGAAGAGAAGAAACCTCCCAAAAAAGAGAAGGAAGAGAAGAAACCTCTCAGAAAAGAGAAGGAAGAGAAGAAACCTCTTGAGGAAGAGAAACCTGAGAAGAAACCTCTCAGAAAAGAGAAGGAAGAGAAGAAACCTCTTAAGGAAGAAAAGGAAGAGAAGAAACCTCTCAAAAAAGAGAAGAAAGTGGACAAACCTCTCAAAAAGGAGGAGAAACCTCTTAAGGAAGAGAAACCTGAGAAGGAACATCTCAGAAAAGCGAAGGAAGAGAAGAAACCTCTTAAAGAAGAGAAACCTGAGAAGGAACATCTCAGAAAAGAGAAGGAAGAGAAGAAACCTCTTAAGGAAGAGAAACCTGTGAAGGAACATCTTAAAAAAGAGAAGGAAGAGAAGAAACCTCTTAAGGAAGAAAAGGAAGAGACAAAACCTCTCAAAAAAGAGAAGAAAGAGGACAAACCTCTCAAAAAGGAGGAGAAACCTCTCAAAGAGGAAAGGGAAGAGAAGAAACCTCTCGAAAAAGAGAAGGAAGAGGAGAAACCTCTCAAGGAAGAAAAGGAAGAGAAGAAACCTCCCAAAAAAGAGAAGGAAGAGAAGAAACCTCTTAAAGAAGAGAAACCTGAGAAGGAACATATCAGAAAAGAGAAGGAAGAGAAGAAACCTCTCAGAAAAGAAAAGGAAGAGAAGAAACCTCTTAAAGAAGAAAAGGAAGAGAAGAAACCTCTCAAAAGGGAGAAGGAAGAGAAGAAACCTCTCAAAGAAGAGAAATCTGAGAAGGAACATCTTAAAAAAGAGAAGAAAGAGAAGAAACCTCTCAGAAAAGAGAAGGAAGAGAAGAAACCGCTTAAGGAAGAAAAGGAAGAGAAGAAACTTCTCAAAAAGGAGAAGGAAGAGGAGAAACCTCTTAAAGAAGAAAAGGAAGAGAAGAAACCTCTCAGAAAAGAGAAGGAAGAGAAGAAACCTCTTAAGGAAGACAAACCTGAGATAGAACATCTTAAAAAAGAAAAGGAAGAGAAGAAACATCTCAAAAAGGAGAAGGAAGAGAAGAAACTGCTTAAGGAAGAAAAGGAAGAGAAGAAACTTCTCAAAAAGGAGAAGGAAGAGAAGAAATCTCTTAAGGAAGAAAAGGAAGAGAAGAAACCTCTCGAAAAAGAGAAGGAAGAGAAGAAACCTCCCAAAAAAGAGAAGGAAGAGAAGAAACTTCTTAAGGAAGAGAGACCTGAGAAGGAACATCTTAAAAAAGAGAAGGAAGAGAAGAAACCTCCTAAGGAAGAGAAGGAAGAGAAGAAACCTCTCAAAGCAGAGAAGGAAGAGAATAAACCTCTTAAGGAAAAAGAAAAGAAGAAACCTTCAATAAAACCCATTGAAGAAAAAGAAATTAGCCATCTTTCAAAAGAGAAGAAACTACCTGAGAAAGGAGTCAAGAGACTGCCCAAAGACATTAAGAAACCATTCAAAGAGGACAAGGAACCTTCTAAAGAAGAGATAGAAATTGGGAAATCTCCTAAAGAAGAAAAAGTAGAGGTGCCTCCCAAAAAAGAGAAAGAAGCGAAGAAACCCTCTAAGGCTAAAACACCACATATAGAGGAGAAAAAAGTCACCCACCCTCCAAAAGTAGAAAAAGAGGAAACGGAACCACCTCTAAAAGAAGAAGAGACAAAAACTCCTAAAGAAGAGAAAGAAGTTAAGAAATCTAAGGAAGTATCAAAACCTTCCGAAGATGAGAAGGAGAAGAAACAACCAAGAGAGGAGAAACATGTCAAAGAACAAAAGAAATCCCTTAAAGATGAGAAAGCAGAGAAAAAATTACACAAAGAAAAGGCAGTCTTAAAAACATCTAAGGAGGAGATGGTTGAGAAAGTAGAGAAGGAGGTGAAGACCACAGAACCAAAAGAAGTAACAAAACCTCCAAAGGAAAAGAAAGAAGTGAAAAAACCCTCAAAGGATTACAAAGAAGAAATAAAACCATCCATGGAGGAGAAAGAAATTAAACCTATAAGAGAACAAAAGGAAAAAGAAGTTAAGGAACAATCTAAAGATGAGGTTCCATCCAAGGAAGCAAGGGGAGAAATACTTCATCCAAGGAAAGAAAAGGAATCAAGAAAGCATTTAAAAGAAACAAAAGATCAAGAAAAACCACCCAAAGATGCTGAGCAAGTAAAGAAGATTTCAGAAGAGCCAGAAAAGATCATCAAAGAGAAGAAACCAACAGCAGAAATTCCTAAAGAGGTGAAAGAGGACATAAAGAAAGAGAGACCTTCTAAAGAAAGGGCAGTACCAAAGAAGTCAGCAAAGGAAAAACAAGTAGTTAAAGAACCAACAAAACCTTCTAGAGAGGATGAAAAAGAACCAAAGAAGCCTATCAAAGAAGAAAGAGAACTGAAGAAGCTCCCCAAAGAACCTGTCCAAAAGAAACCTTCCAAAGAAAAGAAAGAGGAGATTCACAAAATAGAAAAAGAAGTTAAAAAGCCTTCCAAAGAGGAGAAAGAAATCAAGACTCCCAAAGAAGACAAAGAACCTGTGAAGAAAAGAATCACAAAGACAGGTACATGTACAGTACAGAGTTTTTATTTTCATAATGTAAAGATCCACAACACTATTTCCTCTGATTGGCTGCCCCTCAGAAACAAAAGATTTGAACAGCGAGCAAGAGGGAGTGTATTAAGGATATCATGTCTCTATCGAAGAAAAAGAAAAAACTCATTAGACTCATTGCAATAAATATCTTTGAAACGTTGTTTGTTCTTTTGGATGAATGTTGTTGACCCGTAAGAAGAATAGTGATGTATAGTTTTCATAACAATATAATATTTAGATGCTTTTATTTTGTGGAGAATATAATTAATCCATTTTCTAAAAATGTTTGAAGCAGCTTTTGCTTTTTACTTTAGAGCCCAAAAAGCCTGTAAGAGGAATTAAAATTGTCAAGAAGGAGGTTGCATCTGTTCTTAAGAAGGAACATCTCAATGTTACAAAAGCAGGTGAGACTATGCTGGACTATTGGTTAATATATGTGAGGCATGAATCACCGCATTTTCTTGTTTTCTCTGCAATGTGTAAGTTAAAGCTATTCTGAGGGTTAAAGATATAATGCCTCATTGATTTTTCAAGTCATTGAAGAAATACATTTAAGCATGTTCTAATTCGTACTTTGTTTGCTGACACTGACAGTGTAATGCCTAATGAGATAAGATTTTCATGCGGAATATAAAAAAATTTAAAGAAAGTGTTACTTCATAAGCACCAATCTTTAGAAATCAGTGTCTTATTTTCCACTAGAAGCAGCTCCCAAGGAGCCTAAGAAGGAGCCAACGCTAAAAGTAAAGCCTACACCTGTAAAACCAGGTAATGCAAATATGTTGATGGAGTTGAAACACTGAAAATTAAACTCAAACAACACGCCAAATCTAAACATATTCTCATATTAGAGCATAAAGGTAGCACTAGTAAATAAAAGAGGTAATGCTGCTAAGCTATTACAGTCTCTGCAGCACTTTACTGATATTTTATTTGCTTGTTGCTCAGTTTAATAAATTATATGGAGCAGTATACTTAATTACTAGCAAATTACATATTCTTATCAATTCCTGTGTTATTTTCTGTTTTTAGATGCTGAGGTTACAAAAGAAAGAGTAAAACGAGCTCCTTCAGAGAAGGGTAAATATACTTACCTTTATGACAGTGTCAAGACTTAAAGGCAGAAGAGTCACAGGTCTATGAAATTAAGTGGACACTACTACTGACACCTGCTAACTCTTATGGAGAATGTTCCTGTGCATCCATTTTATGAATATCACTAACGATTACGTTCCAGATGTTTTAAAATCTGAACTGTAAAAATAACCAATCAAAGCCAGAGTTATGGTAAGTTTATGCACTTGTGTTGTGTCACAGAAGCACCAAAGAAAAAGGCTAAAGCACCTCCTGCAAAGAAAGGTAACGTTCACATATTACATTGATAATCTTCTGATCACCAAATGACAAAATGATTGATACTGAGGGAGTTGCATTATCCTGCTGTTAAAAAATTTTTTATTTTTCATATACAGAAGCTGTTGCTCCAAAAGAAAAGCCCAAACCAGCGATCTTGGCAAAAGGTACGTGTGGTGCATATTTTTATGCACAAAGAAACACCAACTTAACTATACAGGCTGCATGCAAATCTCACAAATAGTTTTTTTTCTTGACAGAACAACAAGGTACTGCTAGAAATGCCTCACTGGTGAAAGAGAGGGTTAAAATTGTGCCTATGAAGAAATACTTTTATTTTATGTTACACTGATTTCAGATTTTTGCATCCCACTGTTCCTAATGATATTCTCCGTAACCTGATGTCTGTTCTTTGTTCATCAGTGGTCAAGATGCCAAAAGAGAAAGTCAAAGCTGTCTCTGCAAAGACAAGTACGTACAGTATATCATGTCAAAGATCAGAATTTTAATAACATGAAAGAGGTCTGGATGTCACACTGAACATCACGTTCTGTGTTTTTAACATCAGCTGAGGTTTCAAAACAGAAGCTCAAACCAGTTCTAACCAAGAAAGGTAAGAAACAGTTATCATTGAGTTTCAGTATTGTCCTGTCTTCCTCCCCTGAGCCTGGCCCTGCTGGATATTTCATCCTCTTAAAAGCAAGTTTTTCCTTCCCACTGTCGCCAAAGCACTTCCTAATAGGGGGTCATCAGATTGTTAGGGTTTGTTTTCTTTGTATAATTGTTGGGTCTTTACCTTACAGTATAAAGCACTCTGATCCAGCTGTTATTGTGATTTGGGGCTGTATTAATTAAACTGAACTGAATTATTCTGTGTAGCGCTGAACCTAAAATTTCTTTACTTAGAGCCAGCTCCAGTTAAGACAAAACCAGCCCCAGCTAAAGGTAAGATGATGCTAACCTTTCCTTTAAATAGTTTTTTAAAAGTAATCAAGCTTTTGATTTTCACACTCTTTTCTCTGTTACAGAGGCAGAAGCACCACACAAAAATGTTACTCTAACAAAGGAGAGGGTGAAGGTGGTGCCATTGAAGAAAGGTGCATCTCTTTGTTTAAGTAGCTGTTCTAGTGTGATTACCAACATGCACTGTTATTATGCTAATTTTTTTTTTTTTTTAAATACATATATATTTTAAATAATTGAATACTTTAAGAAAGTTTCCAAACATAACCTGGCAACTTTTTTCCTCCCTTTTAGTGCCTGTAACTCAGAAAGTAAGAGCCAAACCAGAACCAACCAAAAAAGGTAAAAATAGTGACTGAACATTTTACTAGTCAAATAGTATCTACCAATACTAATTCTAATATACACAGGCATCATGTGTTAGACTTTAATAATGTTTTTGAATGTGAAGTTTTTGTATTTCTATGCATGCTTTTGCATTTTTTATACAGCATCATAGTTTGGAATAATCAGCTGTGACTGTTATAATAGAAACCAGATTATTGTCCTCTGCAGTAAACTGGACCTTATGTTTTCTGTTGCTATTGTTTAGAAGCTGAGGTTCTTAAGAAGAAGAAAGCTGAGCCAGTGATTCCCAAAAAAGGTATCCTTTTAGCTTTTCACCTCTTTCACAGGTCTTTTTTTTTTTTTAATTATCTAACATGTATAACAGCAGTATTTCAGTGGTTTCTCACCTTTTTATAAATATAATTCAAGTTAATTGGAGCATTTATTATTCTAGCAGCTGTTACCAGGACAAAACCATCACCTGCTGAAAAGAAGAAAGGTATACAGCAGAATTGTGTGTTGTTTTGCTGTAGAAACATCACACGCAGCGCTGTGCTGATATTAATTCAGTCATGTTCAACCCACGTCACATCACGACTGATTCGCTGACATGTAGCTGCTGACGATATGCTTCACTGCCA